ACATTCTTTCTCTTTGGTTGTAAAAAATGAATAAGAGAACGGTTCTGGGTGAATGCTGTCTTAAAATTTTTACTATAGAGTTTAAAAATCATAAATGCTCCCAGGGGTATTCCTGGGTTGAGAATAGAAGCTTGCTTCATATTTTTACCCTTTTTTTTAGGAACATGAGTAAACCTGGGGAGGCTGTATCAACCAAAGAGTTATTATCTCATTGACTGGCTCCAGGCCCAGGGATTCCTCAAATTAGCAGCTGCCAATTGTGTTTCTGTGCTGAAGGTGACTCGGTTTTGACATTGTGTTCTATTACCTCCTCCAACCCAGGTTCAGACACAAAGGCCTATGATGGGTCCTGGGTTCTACTGTCTACTTGAAATATGTGGCTGGTGACAGGGATGACTGTACTCCTGATTTGGGGTAAAAGCTTTATGCCTAAAATGAATGGTGTTAAGGGAAGTGTTCGATTCACACCCATTTAATTTTCAAGGAAGTTGAAACCTCAGTGTGAGGGGCTACATAATACTCAGTGTATTAGTTTTCTAGGGCGGTTGTACCACAGTGCCACAGAGTAAGTGGTTTTTTAAAAAAACACCAAAATTCGTCTCATAGTTCTTGAGGCAATGTCTAAAATCAAGGTGCAGGCAGGGTTAGTTCCTTCTGAGAAGATGACCTGTCTCTTTGGTGTGTTGATGGCCATCTTCTCCCTTGTCTTCACATCATCTTCCTTCTTTGTGTCCAAATTTCACCTTTTGCATTGCATTAGGGCTCACTTTCATAACCTCGTTTTAACTTGATTGCCTCTCTAAAGATACTACTCCAATAAGGTCACATTTTGAGGTACTGGGCATAGGACTTCAACATATAAATTTTAGGGGGACATATTTTAGCCTATAACCCATAGTGAAAGTTCACAGAAGAGCTTTTTCTATGTCATGGAGCCCAAGGGAAAATGGTAGACAGAACAATGGAGTCCTGCTTCTTAACCAGTTAATCTACACAACTCTAGCCATATTTGGCTCTTTCTGTAAGACAGAAATGAAAGAAAACTGAAGTAGGGGATGGGAGCCATAGAGAAAATTACCTCTTGGTAATATATGAGGGATCTTCAACAAGTTCATAGAAAATGTGGATTGTGAGAAAATTATGCATGAATTTAAAAAATTATTCGTGTTAACATAAATCCATATTAACTTGTTATAATGCATCTGAACATGATCTGATTTGAGTCACTAGGAAGGATAAAATATCAGTTTGAAAAGAGTCTCTATCAGAGCAACATGAATTCTATATTTGAAGCAAGAACAAACATCAAATTCATGGTAAAGCTTGAGTGAAAGAATGGTGAAATTATCAACACTTCACAAAAAGTTTATGAGTACAATGTCCCACCCCCCCCCTTGAATCGGCAGTTTACAAATGGATAACTCATTTTTTAAGAGGGGAAAAGACAGCTGGATGTAGTGGTTCAGGCCTGTAATCCCAGAACTTTGGGAGGCTGAAGCAGGAGGATTGCTTGAGCCCAGGAGTTAGAGACCAGCCTGGGCAACATATCAGGAGTACAGTTATCCCTGTCACCAGTCTCACATTTCAAGTAGACAGTAGAACCCAGGGCCTTTGTGTTTGAACCTGGATTGGAGGAGGTAACAGAACACAATGCAAAAGCCAAGTCACCTTCAGCACAGACACTCAATTGACAGCTGCCAATCTGAGGAATCCAGTTCATCTACACACACACACACACACACACACACACACACACACACACACACACACACACAAAGCTAGCTGGGTGTGGTGGCATGGGCCTGTAGTCCCAGCTACTCAGAAGTCTAAGGTAGAAGGATTGCCTAACCCAGGAGGTCAAGACTGTGATAAACCATGATTGCGTCACTATACTCCAACCTGGGCAACGGAGTGAGAACCAGAATGAAAAATAAATAAATAACAACTGGGGGGAAAGGAAGACATGATAGACTTCTTCTCCACAATTTTTATACCAGTAGCCCTATTTGTCACATGATCCATCATAGAATTCTCAATATGATATATGCATTCAGACCCCCATATCAACCGCTTTTTAAAATATTTATTAATTTTCCTCATCACCATATTAATTTTAGTCACCGCTAATAACCTATTCCATCTTTTTGTTGGATGAGAAGGGGTAGGTATTTTATCCTTCCTCCTCATCGGATGATGATACGGATGAACAGATGCAAACACAGCAGCCCTACAAGCAATTCTTTATAATCGTATTGGAGATATCGGCTTTATCTTAGCAATAGCATGATTCTTAACTTACTCCAACTCATGAGAGTTTCAACAAATTTTTATTACTTCCCCAAACTCTAGCACACTTCCCTTATTAGGTCTTCTCCTAGCAGCTGCAGGAAAATCCACACAATTTGGACTACATCCATGACTTCCCTCCACCATAGAAGGTCCAACCCCAGTCTCCGCTCTACTCCACTCAAGCACTATAGTCGTAGCCGGAGTTTTTCTACTAATCCAATTCTATCCCCTTCTAGAAACAAATAAAATAATTCAAACTATAGCACTATGTCTAGGGGCCATTACTACCCTCTTTACGGCAATCTGTGCTTTAACACAAAATGACATTAAAAAAATCGTCGCATTCTCTACCTCTAGTCAACTGGGCCTTATAATAGTAACTATCGGAATTAATCAACCCCATCTAGCATTTCTCCATATCTGCACTCACAGGTCTGGAGATAATCCTGTGTTTTCTCCCTCAGGGGTTGTGTATAAAGCTAAAACCCCACAGCCTGACTCCTTGGACAGTGCTGAGAGACCAGAAGTGAACATGCCCTGTTCCCACACCACCACTGGAGGAAAAAAGAACACAATCTGGTATCGCAGTTTGATAATTATGGCCCCAAGTATCTTATTTAAAGTTTAAAGAACAATGTAACCAATAAAATGGCTTCACCGCCCCTTTCCTGAGAACCGAAAGTCGAGTACCCTGGGCCTGCTCCAGAAAATCCTGCAAGACACGGCCATGTGTTACCACACTGTGAGAGATGCAAGTGGAGCAGATGGGGCTACACTTGTCTCTCTGGTGGGCAGGGGAGGTGGCCTCCATTTAAAGAGGACATTGCTCAAGAAAATGTGAGATTCATGGAAGAAGGTGAACATAAGACAAGAAGAAAGACGGGAAAAAAAAGTAAGGAAAAGGCACGTGAAATCAAGAACTGGGCCAGGAAAGAAAAAGCAGAGAGGAGGATCCAGGATATTATTCTTTCTTCATCTGACATTTTCATTCTTGCTACAGATTCAGTGTGAAGTTCATAAGTTAAGCATTATTCCTCTGAGAAATGTCTGGTTCTCTTCTTTTTTTCCAACTATACCACATGCATGTGATAAATGAATCTTGAGAGATCGTGAGAAAGAAACAATTATATTTTTCTTATTTCAGCATCTTTTAGCTTTCTATATAACTGAGTACTCTATTTTTTATAAGTAATAAAGTCATAAATAATATTTGTTTAAATATTTAAGCAATATAGAGGAAAAAGCGATACTTCATTGATTTAACTCTGACAAGTTTTCCATCACTGTTAACAGTTTGGTAATTGTATTTCCATTATTTCTATTCATTTTATACAAACCCATAATAAAATACTTTTTATTTTTTTATTTTTTTACATTGACTGATCTAATTTTATTTTTTTTCTTTTTAACTTGATTTTTTATTTGAATGTAATATTTAACCATTCTTCTAATGATTGCCAGTTACAATATTCTAGTTTAGTTTTACCACTGTAAACATACTACAATAAATAATCATATATTCTTATAAATTTCAAGATAGGATTATTAGGAAAATATATGAACACAAATTTTTATTGAAAGTGGTTTTGCCAGGTTGCTTTTCAAAAAGAATATGATGATACACATTTTCATCACATCCTCACCAACAGAAAATGTTCGAATTCTTCTTTAGACCACTCTGTTGAACATAGTAGTATCTCATTTTTTACTTAATTTGTATAATCTGTTTACAAATAAATTTTAGTATATATATATTTTTAATATTTATTTATTATAAAGATGTGGTGTACAATTCAGGGTTAGGCATATAAACACCGATCACGTAGGTACCCTTGTTGATGAGGTATGCCCCTACCTCCCCCAGGAGTTTCCCTCAACTGCCAGTCCCACCCCCCTCCCCTGACAGTTTTCCACTACTGTCAATCAAAAATGCTTTTTAAAGACATGAATGAGATCACAGTATATGTTAAATGCTGTGATTTGATTGAATAACTCACAGAAATAGTTACAAGTCAGAAAATTTGTTCTTTTTTCACAACTGCATAGTGTATCATAATCTAGATCTACCATAACTATTTGTATGAGAAGGATATTTGCATTTTATTCTCTACCTTTTTTACTATAGCAATGTACATTTTTGTACATGTATTTATAAGGGTATTTGTTAATCAAAAATCCCAGCCAACTGGAATTTCTGCATACAATGGTATGTAAATAACTCCAGTAGATCTCTTTTAGTGATATTTTGACTGTTAGAATATAGAGTGCCCATTTCCTGACATCCTCAACAACATTGAGTATTAATATTATTATTTTTAACTCTTTGTGCAGTCTGATAACTGATAAATGACAGAAAGGAGCTTTTCACAGAAGTATGCGTTAAAGGAAACTAGTCCTTACGGGCTGAAGTGACAAGAGGAAGAAGTAGTCATAGGAATCTGGAAAAAGTGGCTGTAACTGCCTAGCAAAAAGTTAGAGTTTTTCCTTTCTAATATAAATATTTAAAAATATAAATTTCTCTCTATGCACTGATTTGGCTGCATTATACAACTTTGACAGTTAGACATTTTTATTTAAGAGAAGGAAGAGGAGGTGAAGGAGGAGAGAGAAGCATTTCTCTTGCACTGCTGTGCTTAGTTCTGGGATGGCAGTGTTTTCATTTCCACCTCCCATACTGTGCAGAGGTGTATGTGTGTGTGGTGGTAGTGGGGGGGTCTTGTCTCTGATTGGCTGGGCTGACTCTGTGTTTCCTGTAGAAATGTTTGAACGTGTGAGACAGCAAAGCAGGTCTTTTATCTTGTGAGCTGTTGTCAATATTCAGACACAAGAATTCAATTCTCAGCAAGTCGAAGAGACAGAAGAAATGGAGAAACCCGTGGGCTTGCTCATCCTTTGGCTGCAACTAGGCTGTGAGTTAGAGGAATCTGGAAAGGGGCAAAGAGCAGACAGTTTCTAGGACATTTCTCCCAAGGAAGAGAAAGTTAGAGTGCTGTGACTGTGGTTTTCTGTGGAAATTTAAAAAATAAATAAATTTAAAAGTAATTTCTGAAGAATCATTAGCCACTAACCAGTCTGTGATTCTCTTTCTGAACAGGGGTGAGCAGTAAACAGGAGGTGAAGCAGAGTCCTGCATCTCTGAGTGTCCCAGAAGGAAACATCCTGGTTATCAACTGTAGTTTCACGGATACTGCTATCTACTACCTTCAGTGGTTTAGGCAGGAACCTGGGAAAGGTCTCAAATCTCTGTTGTTAATTCAGTCAAGTCAGAGAGAGCAAACCAATGGAAGATTTAACACTTTGCTGGATAAATCAGCAGGACATAGTACTTTATATATTACAGCTTCTCAGCCTGCCGACTCAGCCACCTACCTCTGTGCTGTGAGACACAATGCGCAGCAGACACCTGCAACTAATACACAAATGCTACAGCTGGGTTTCTAATCACATGTCTTGAGGCTGGGGAGCCTTTTTGCATTAAGAAGTTTTCTAAATTGGCACTTTCTCCAGATAGAAGCAATTAAATATACAAAACGTGGTATAATGATCTCAAGTTAAATTATAAATTATTTGATTTTTAAAGTTCTACCAAGCTTAATTTGAATAATAGCTTATTGAGATTAATTCTCATGTCACACAGTTCACCCTTTTAAAGTGAACAATTAAGCGGTATTTGGTATATTAACAATGTTGTGCAACTACTATCTCTGTCCAGTTTCAAAAATTGTTAACACCCCAGAGAAAACCACACACCCATCAAGCAGTTACTTATCTTATTCTTCCTTCTCCCCAGCCCCTGGCAACTACCAGCCTGCTTTCTGTCTCTATAGATTTACCTATTTAAAGTCAAACATGCACCTCTAACAAATCACATAGGATGCTTCACCCCTGGTGAGCCTTCCTCTATCTTCCCCCAAGCAATGTCCTCCAGTCGGGGCACACCTGAAGTTCTACTTTTATTCCCCTACTACAGAGTTTCCCCACTCCTCTGCTTGTCTTTGAGTCTCTGCCAAAATACAAGTAATGGTAACTGACTCCCTTGGTACAGCAAGCTCTGAATAAATAACCTCTGCTCGTTCCCATTTGAATGGTCTTCACTTTGACTCTACATATCCCTTCAAATGTCACTTAATTTTTTTTCCTGCTAATTTATCACTTTGCAATAAGAGTCTCATGTTGCATATGAAAAATCACTGAATCACCATAAAGAATGTTAAAACTGGAGGGCAGATTGGCCTCCATGCATATAGGTCATTAATACCTGGGTAAATCAGACAGTACTACTTGGATAAGTCAGAGAGAAGCATTGATGTAAAACAGTTCTCAATATTTACATTACAAACTGTATCTTCAACACAACCTGGAAACTCCCAACAGAGACCTTGGCCTTCTGGGAATTTTCTTACTTGGAATTGCTGGTTCCTAGCTATTTCTTTTGCTAAATATTCAGGTTCTATGTGTGTGATGAGGAGTTTTCATCTACAACCTCTGCCATGTCTGAACTACAAAGCTGCTTTCTTTTTTGCTATTCCAAACTAAGTTGTGGACAAAGCATACATTCAGAAATGTGAGATAGAAAAGAGCTCCATAAGCTCTACTTTACTAGCTATTATGTTCTGTGATTTAAATGAACTTTTATGACAAGTGAAAATGAATGAGCAATATTAACAAAAAAAGGAGAATATTCATGCTTGAAAGAAGTTACTTTTTCCCACACAGGTGGTAGCAGCATGTTAGGCAGGCAGGTACTTTGCTATTGGCAATACGGCAGTCAGCAATCCCAACTTAACATGGGAATGTACACATAAAATAAAGCAATTTAAACAAGCATAAGCATGTAATTCAACATATGATAAGGACAATACATTTAAAAGTGGACATCACAAAAGATTGTAAAATTGGGTTTACTTTGGCAGAGTGGAGATTGTGCTGCTGGTGGTCAGAGAAGGCCTCTTTGAGAAAATATTTACACTGAAATGTCAGAAAGATAGGTACTAGAAAAGTTAAGGCTCCTGCTAAGAAGTGCTGTATCCAGAGGGAGCAGCTTGTGTGAATGTTCTAGATAGAAAAAGAACTGAGTATTTGAGAAAATGAAGGAAAGACAGCGTGCCTGAAATAAACTGTGCGAGGGAAAGCTGAAGCTAGAGAGTTAAGTAAACAACGTGCACGACAGGTAGGTCATATAAAGGGTTGGAGTTTGTTCAAAAGTGAGAAATCATTAAACATATACAAGAATGTGGCAAATGCGGATATAAATGTGCATATTTAAAATAGTTTTTGGAGTTAAAATTGACAGGGTTTGATGATAAATTAGACATGCACACTGAACAAGGAAGGATGGAATAATGTGGCGAATGGAAGAACCACTTGCTATAGGAGGGACAATGAGGGAAGAGAGGATTTGAAGGGAGGGACCAGTACTCAGCTTTGAACACGAGATTGAGATTAGAAATCCGTTTCATATTTGAATATGTGCTGAGATGAAATGTGAGATCTTTGAAATACGTGAAATAGACAGTTGATTGTATGGATTTGTATCACAGAATCTGAGTCTTCTCTGAAGATACAAATTTGAAAATAATAATTTTATAGATACCTTTAAAACCTTGAAAGAGGAGGAAATCCCCTAATGGAAAGCATATAAAGTTAGATGAAAAGTCTAGACTCAAGCTATGAGAGACCATAACATTTGGAGATTAGATAGAAGAGAACAAGCTAGTAAAATGAATTGAGAGGGAGCAATGAGATTGGTCAGAGAAAAACCCGAGGCAAGTGTTTCCATGGCATGCAAGAAAAGAAAATGTGTTGAGAAAGATAGAGTGGAAAACGGCAGGGAAACTTTTTAGAATTTAGGTAAGATGAGGATTGAAAAGTGTTCTGTGGATTTTGCATCATGGGTATTATCAATGTTTTTGGTAAGAGTAAGGACAAAGTGATGGAGAGAAGTGGAATTCTGTGAATTGTGGAGTGATTAGAAATTTCAGTGGCTGTATATCAAGCCCATGCTACAACTCGTCTCTCAATCCTTAACATTTCAATTTCAAAGCTTAATTCTACAGGCAACCCTTCTTTTATTGCACTTGGCAAATGTTGTGGTTTTCACAAGTTGAAGGTTTGTGGCAACTCTGCATCCATCAAGCCTTTCTTGCTTTTTTTCCAACAACATTTGCTCACTTCATGTGTGTGCCATGAATTGGTAATTTTCATATTTTAAGCTCTTTCACTATTATTATCTCTGGTATGGTGATCTGTGGTCAGTGTTCTTTGTTGTTACTGTTATAATTGTTTTGAGGTGCCACAAACTGCCCCTATATAATATAGCAAATTTAATCCATAAATGTTATGTGTGTTCTGACTGCTCCACCAGCCTTCGTGTCTCTCCTTTTTTTTTTTGAGTTGGAGTCTCACTCCATCACCCGGCTATAGTGTGGCATGCTTACAACCACTCCAGTGTCGAACTGCTGGGCTCAGGTGGTCCTTCTGCCTCAGCATTCCAAGTAGCCAGAACTACAGGTGCATGCTACCATGCCTGGCTAATAGGATTTGGCGCTCTCTCCCTTTTTTTAAGACCTCTCTATTCCCTGAAACTCAATGATATTTAAATTAAGTGCATTAATAACCCTACAATGGCCTCTAAGTGTTCAAGTGAAAGGAAGCTCCTGTAATTCATTTTAAATCAAAAGCTAGAAATGATTAAGATTAGTGAGGAAGGCATATCAAAAGCTGAGATGGGCCAACAAATAGGCCTCTTGCACCAAAGTCTTAGTCAATGTATGAATACAAAGAAAAAATTATTGAAGGAAATTTAAAATGCTACTCCAGTAAACACAAGAATGATAAGAAAGTAAAACTCCCTTATTGTAGACATGGGAGAAGTTCTTAGTGATCTAGACAGAATCAAAGCAGCCACAATATTCCTTTACACCAAAGCCTAATCCAGATTAAAGTTCTAACTCGTCTTCAAGTCTATAAAGGTTGAGAGAGGTAAAGAAGATGAAGAAAATAATTTTGAAGCTAGCAGAGGTTGGTTCATGAGATTTAAAGAAGGATGCCACTTCCATAACATGAAAGTGCAAGGAGAAGCAGTGAGTGATAATGTAGAAATGACAGCAAGTTATCCAGAAGATCTAGCTAAAATCATTGATGAAAATGGCTACCCTAAACAGCAGATTGTCATTGTAGATTAAGCAGTCATCTACTGGGAGAACAAATTGTCATTGTAGATTAAGCAGTCTTCAACTGGGAGAAGATGCCATTGGACTTTAATAACTAAAGAGAAGAAGTCAATGCCTGGCTTCAAAGCTTCAAAGGACAGATTGATTTTCTTGTTAGGTGTTAATGAAACTGGTGACTTTAAGTTGAAACCAATACTCATTTATTATTTCAAAAATTCTAGGGCCCTTATGAATTATGCCAAATCTATTCTGCTTGTGCACTAAAAGTTGTACAACAAAGCCTGGAAGACAGTACATCTGTTTACATCATGGCTTACTGAATATTTCAAGTCCACTGTTTAAGACCTACTGCTCAGGAAAAAAGATTCCTTTCAAAATAGTACTGCTATTGACAATTCACATGGTCACTCAAGCGTTCTGATGAAGATGTATAAGGAGATTAATGTTGTTTTCATGCCTGCTAAAACAACATCCATTCTGCAGCCCATAGATCAAAAAGGAGTTTTTACTCTCAAGTCTTATTATATAAGAAATACATTTTGTAAGGCTGTTGCTGCCATAGATAGTGCTTCCTCTGATGAATCTGGGCAAAGAAAATTGAAAATCTTCTGGAAAGGATTCAAATTCTAAATGATGCCATTAAGAACATTTGTGATTCATGAGAGGAGGCCAAAATATTAACAGGGGTTTAGAAGAATGTGAATCCAGCACTCAAGGATGACTTTGGAAGGTTTCAGACTTCAGTGGAGTAACTACCTGCAGATGTGGTAGATAGCAAAATAACTAGAATTAGAAGTGAAGCCTGAAGGTGTGACTGAATTGCTATAATCTCATGACAAAATGTCAACAAATAAGGAGTTATTCTTTATGAATGAGCAAAGAAAGTGGTTTCTCAAGATGAATCTGTTCCTGGTGAAGATGCTATGAACTTTGTTGAAATGACAACTAAGGATAGAATATTACATAAACTTTGTTGAGGAAGCAGCAGAGTTTGAGAAGATTAACTCCAATTTTGAAATAAATACTGCTGCATGTAAAATGCCATTAAACAGTATTTCATGCTATAGTGAAATCTTTCATGAAAGGAAGAGTCAATTGATGTGGTAAACTTCATTGTTGTCTTCTTTTAAGCAATTGCCCTAACCTTCAGCAGCCACATCCTTATCAGTCAGCAGCCATCAACATGGAAGCAAGACCATCCACCTGCAAAAAGATTATAACTCGTTGAAGGATCATTGTTAGACTTTTTAGTAATAATATATTTTAAAT